AGAAAAGAAAAGGTGACAGGCAAGAATGATGGGGCCACTGTAAGCGCAAGCCTGATGGGTAGGGGAGAGATGGGCAGAGCATAGGAAGTGGAGGGCTGGACTTGGGCTGGTACCAGTCATTTATGTGTGTATTCCCAGGGCATCACACAGAGCTGGTAGGCCACTTAAAAAAACATGTGCTGAAAGAATGAATAAAGAAATCAACCTATACGTGAATAAAGTCCCTTGTACTAAACTATGAAGGAAAGTATAGATTGCTTCATTCCACACACATATTTTATACATTGCTTCATATAACAGTTATTCTACTAAAAGTAAAAGAGAATGAAGTTTGCTGTATGAGTTTAGATCAGAGTTTACATCTTCGAAAGCAGGGAGAAAAGAAAGAAATAGAGGAAATATCTAACTGATGGTATTATTAGGCAGGCACAGGTAAAGCACACCCCCACACATCCCTCCAAGAAAAATTTAGAGAAATAAGGGGCAGAAATGTCTGGACCAATGACTGCAGCAATGCACCCACTCCAGTCTTTCAGCAGCGTAATACTGGACAAGGACCAAAATATACTACAAAAGGACTCCCCAACCAGCCAGGGGTCTACTAAGCCCTCCTCACAGTTATCACCTCTGGGACTGCCGCCTGAGCCTTACTGCCCTCTCTAGACCCCAGGGAAAGGTGTGGTCTGCAGTGACGCCCTTGCACCTACTCCTCTGGGGCATTTACACTGACAAACACTCAGGCCACCAGAATCTCTGCCCACCGAGGAGCTCCAATATCAGTCATTGCCCATTCAACTGGTGAACTCAAAGATCTGAGAAAATGGAAGCAACCCCTCACCAAGAGGTGCAGGGCTCCAGATGGAAAAAAAGTTGACAACAAAACCCTGACACCCTTATGGATGGTTTTATCCTTTCTTTTAAAAAACCATTTTAATGCAAGAGGAACTTGAGGTGATAGGCTCCTATCAGTATTCATTTCATTTTCCTTCAGTAAAAACAGACTCTCTACGAATAACTATAACTTTCTCAGGTACAGTTTGTATCACTAACTTTTTGAAGAAAATATTTCACTCTACTAGATATGTCAACTATCTACAATACCTGTGATATATTCCCCCACCCCACCTCAGGGTGGGTACACAGGAAATTTCCAGTCCACCCTAATATCTCTCACTTTCTGTCTTCACATAAGCTCCAAAAAAGGAAAGGAGTAGGAAAGAGGAAAAATCTCATTAGGAGTGCTTTAAAAGGCCAAAGTTGAATACTTAAGCAAGATAAAAGTCACATTTATTAATGTAATACAATAAAATCTTAAGATAAGCTTCAGCCTTCCACACCGTTTATGATAAAATAGTAATTGGAATATATGGCAGTTTAAAATATAGCTGTATGTTAGGGGCCAAATCTTGAGTATGAACATTTACTGTAGCTGCCTTTGTTTCTTGTACCACACCCGTCATGCAAGACCTATGCTTTCTAGTTCTAGCTCCTCTTTGGTATAAAAACCTGGAAACATACTATCAATTACCCATGTGCAGAGTCCTTTAAGACTTTCAGACTCCCTCCCCAATCTTTATGAGTTTGCTTATGTAATCGAGCAGTCACTTCTTTTATTGACTTGAAGTCACTGAGTCATTCCAAAGCACTGAAAATAATCCCAGAAAATGATTCTTTCTGAACTCAAATTTCACTAGTTTACATATTTAATTACACTGTATGATAACAACTAGATGAACATAAATAGAAGCAGGTCAAATACAACTGATGCTGCAAGCCCACAACTGGGTAGCAGCACACAGAGTTAGGTATATGAGACTAAGTGTTTGCACAATAACGACAGCAAGCCTTCAACGTGCCAAGCTGGTTAAAGCTGAGGTTGGGTAAGACCTCTATATACATCAGGTTCAAAGTACTTATGGGGCGCTCCCTGGCCCAGGCACAAGGGGTTAAAGCGCAGCATGATGAAGCTAACATGAGTTCAATCCTCCATCCCTAGCCCTAGGGAGGTGACCCACCTGTTTCAGCAGACCTCTCCCCTGTCCAGCCCGCTGCTACCCTCAGCAGTGTATTTCAGTCCATCCACCAGTTCTGTTACCCCACTCTGTCTCTGATGAATCCTCTCCCCCTCCCTCACCTCTGGCCTGTACCGCAGTTCTTGTATGTATAAATAATTAAATCTTTAAAAAAAGAAAGATTCTAACTATAAAAATATCAATACAAAAAAACTTGTAAATAGGGGGATTTTCCTGCTGTTGGTTCTTGTTTATCTACAGAAAAAGCAGCTAAAGGTGTGGATAAAAGGGAACTCATTTTCATCATGTTACTGGGTCTGCTTGTTTTTCCTTCTCTCCCACTGGACTTTAAACATCCTGCATGCCTGTCTCCTTCATAACAGTATCACAGAATCTGGCAGTGAGTGCTCAATAAACTTGCTCAATAAATTTGCTGAATATGGTCACACATCCGAACCTGACTCAGTATTTCAGCTGTTATTACTACTGGCCTATAAATTTGGGGGTTGGGGGCTGAAAAAAATCAGAACGCTAGATGGTTTTTAATTCACGATCATTATCTGCTAATATATCCATCTATTTTTCTTTTACATTGTATGCATGTTTCCTGAAACTAATTAAAAATTTATAAATGAGGTCCTATTTATAGTTACATTAACACTGTAATAATGCTAATACTATTCTGTAAACTATTCTATATGACTAAAACCTTTGGTGCACTTTAAAAAATGTCATATTGAGTTTAGACTTCACATTCCCACAATGTGTGGCAGTTGATACTTCCAGTTAGGGGCACTTTTATTGAGAACATAAAAGTTCTCCTGGAACTAACAAATTACTTCCTTTCCAACACAATTATATAATCCGAATGTTGAACAGCACCCTAGAGATTATTTTGTGGTCCAAAATACCACCCAATTAAGGAATCCCAATGAACACTACTCAATTTTTTGGAGGAAGGAAGGAATTTTATTTTTAAATGCCACATTACAGAATAATATACACACAGTAGGTTCTTTTCACATCCTTGTTTCACTGAACTAAACAAGCTAAAGTGAACCCATTTCATTAATTTTCTTCCTAGGTTTTAGCTGTAACGTCAACTGAATCTATAATTAAAGATCTGCATTAATCTTCTGCTTATTAGTCAATGTTCGACAAGAAATTGGCTAGAGGAAAACTCCATGATCAAATGGTTCACATGAATGTTGCTAATGTCAGTGCATTAAAAAACTTTAACAGAAATGGAAAATCAAGTCTTCCTTAGTTTACTTATGATCTACAAAGGATTTTCAATTTATTCAAAATACTCACGTGTTCTCAATTTCTAGTATGATTTTTTTTAACAAATAAAGTCTTGCATCATTCATCCAACTAAATTATACACCCTTCTACTTATAATTGGGGTGCTCACAGACTTAACCATAGTACTGCAACAAGACATGTTATTATGCTAATTAGTTTTCCCTCCAGTTAACAGCCTGTGATCCCATCTGATTTCCCATAATATGATATGATAATGAAGAGAACAAAGCCTCTGGAGCAGTAAACACCACCAATAATTTTACTTCACTTAACACAGTACAAAATTTACAGCATGGAGGTTCCTAGCACCCTTATTACAATGCATCTGAGGACTTTTTTTTTTTTTAAGATTTATTTATTTATTCATGCAGAACTGGGGTACAGGCCAGAGATGCGGAGGGTGAGAGGATTCACCAGAGACAAAGTGGGGAGCAGAACAGGCAGATCGACGAAGTACACTGCTGAGGGGAGCAGTGGACGGGTCAGGAGAGGTCTGCCAGGCCATGTGGTCACCTCCAGGGCAGGCGGGGATCGAACTCATGCGGAAGTGGCTTTAGCTTCTCAATGCTCCGTTTTAACCAGCTGCGCCACCAGGGAGGGCCTGAGGACTTTTTAATTTCCAAATCCCTTTTTTATTTCGCTGAAAGGTAACACACTACCCTTCAACAGCACAATTAGTTCTCCACTATAATTTTTTAGGGAATAATTTAAATTCCCTCTTCCTCCTAAACATCTCTGGACAGCAGCTTCTGGCAATCGCCTCTCTTTCATCACAGCCTCTCATAACTAACGGGTCAAGTTCCTTTCCCTGCATTTCAACACGATGCACACTGTACTTGCAGGCCTGCCACCACAGCCCACTGCTGAATGCCGGAATATAACATATTGAGTTTCACTGTCCATCATTGTTTGCAGTTTAACTGCCATTTTACCACCATGCACAGAGGAGAAATGCGTTTCCAGAGGCATCTTATAAATTTCCAAGCTGGCTATTCTTTATGGATTTACAAGAGACCTGTACCTTGCAGAATTCCCTTTCATTACCACAGAAACAGCTTTGGGAAGGTGAGGGCTTTGTTGTGTGTGTGTGTGTGTGTGTGTTTAATACCTTATGGAAAAAAGAAACTGATTCTAAGCAGTGCTATTTTACTAGCAAATTGAATTCCAAAAGCTTTCCTACAGGACAATGGAGGAAATGTCAGGGCAGAGATCTTAACGCCGTTGGCCTTCTCCAGTGAAAATGAAAAATTTTCGGCCCGCAGAAATTATCTCATCAAATGTCCTTTCTTCTCAGCCTACATCACAAGCATCGGAGAGTAAACAAGTAGCTTTGGCTTTTACTCCACGCCCGAAATCTTCCTAAAACCCCCGCCTTGGGCTCACAGACCCACATAACCCCTCGGCGAGCCCGACCTGCCCATGAAGTGCACTTCTCGGCCACAAAGGGCCGGCCTGCGCCTCGTGCACCGCGGCCCCGGCTCACATGTGCCGAGCTGACAAGTGCGGGGCGACCCTTCCAGGACCCGCGGCTGGAGGCCACACACGCCTCCCCACCCGCTGCCTTCTCCCCGCGGTCGCCCTCCCCAGTGACAGGCGCCCGGCGCTCAAGTGCCCGGCCACCGGCTGGCATCCGCCTCGGCCAGGCCCGCGCCGTGCGGCCAGCCCCACCGCCCCGCCGCCCACCGTGCTCTCTCCTTCCCCTTCATCCGCCTCAGCAATTCGGTCGCAACTTCTGGGGGCCCGGCGGAGAGGCCGGGCCGGGAG